TGTATACACATCAGTTCAAGGTTTTGATGGCAATGCGGAAAGTCGAAATCGAAATGTATCCTTTTCTATTTTATTGTCACTTTCTGTATTTGTCCATGGTTACCGGAGTTTTGAATAATTACGATGCAACAGGTATTTACGAAAAAGTTTAGAAGAAACTCCCTTATACATTCAGAGATTGTATTATTAGTCGATTAATGTATTACATTTAGTAGTCTGATCTAGATTTAAACCTAAAGTTCGCTAAATGAGCTTTGCAGTGGCTTCAGAACATTTGGAATAATCGATAAGAAATTTCCAATATTTCCTTCGAAAGTGTAACGCTTTGCTTTTCATGCAGGTTCGCTGCTTGTATGAGTTTAGTTTAGTGCATCATGCAAATCTTAATGAATAACATTATATAGAATTCCGGCGTTCTTTTAACAACACAGTCACAAGGATAATTAACATTTAGTAGTTCGCTGCTTGTATGTAGTTTAGTGCTTCATGCAAATCTTAATGAATAACATTATATATATACCAATACTTGGTATCGAAATAAAGTACTCGTATCGAATCGTCAAAAGTGTAAACACTGCACAAAGTCTATTGAAGAACTTGAGTTGGATATGTTACATCCATCAACATCTAGCTGTTCTAAATTAGAAAACATGTTGGAAAGAAAAAAATATTTTGATGCTAGTACCGATAATCACATACCTTCACAAAGCGCTTTAGAAGACGCATTTTTACAAGTTTCGGACAATAAAGGTAAATCCGTTATTTTTAGTACTTTTTCTTTATTGAATATAATAGATATATCTATTTTGGAGGGAGGATATTCAAAATACAACAAAATAGTGCAGGCTTTAGAGTTTTTTGTCTGCAATTATTTGCGGCCTTCCAACATTGTGGAAGGAGAAGGACTTTTACGTCTTCTGAAAGTGCTTCAACCTAATTTTACTGTGCCTAGAGCAGCTTATTTAAAAAAGAAGACCCGAGAAAAATATGAAGCTTGTGTAGGCTATAGCTAAAGCTAAATTATTGACAAAGATTGACAATATTTCTCTCAGATTGGACATTGGCCAGAAACAATAGACGAGCGAGGTTTCTTAGGTGTGATGTCATTTTCTTGAAAATAGTAAAATGCATATAGTCTATCTAGCTACTCGTACGCTCAATGAAATATTTGCCCTGTTTGGCTCACACAATAAATCACATTGTTGAAGAGGCTTTAAAATGACCAAGTCTGAAAACAGCTATATCTAAGGCTCGTGAAATTGTGCGTTGAATGAAAAACATACGTATTAATGGTTCTGAACAGT